CACCCCATCCCCACAGCCACCCTCACACCCCATCCCCATGAACACCCCATCTCCACAGACACCATGACACCCCATCCCCATGANATCTCCACAGACACCATGACACCCCATCCCCATGAGCACCCTATCTCCACAGACACCATGACACCCCATCCCCACGAGCACCCTATCTCCACAGCCACCCTCACACCCCATCCTCGTGAACACCCCCATCCCCACCGCCACCATCACACCCCATCCCCACAAGCACCCTCATCTGCACAGCCGCCCTCACACCCCATCCCCGTGAGCACCGCCATCCCCACAGCCACCTTCATCCCCATAGCCACCATCACCCCTCATCTCCACAGGCACTCCCCATCCTCAAAGCCACCCTCATTCTCACAGCCACCATCACATCCCATTCCTATGAGCACCTCCATCCCTGCTGCACCAAAGGTCCACATCCCTGCTCCAGTGTTGTCCCTATCCCCTCAGTCCTTCACCCACCTGCCTGTCGCCACCCTCGCCCTCAGCCCCATAGCTACCCTAACTGCTGCCCCCACATCCTCCTCCTCACCTTGCCCCATGGCTTCCTTCACCCTCAGCTAGCTGCACAGCTACACTATGGTCACCTCACCTCCATTCCCATGGCCACTCTCAACCCCAGGACATCCTCTCCACCATCCCCTCATCCACCCTCACCCTTATTCCTACATCCTTGGACCTTTACCCTTTTCCCACAGCAGCTCTCCCCCCACTATTTGCCTTCACAGCCACTTTGCCGTGCCTGATGCCTTCCTTGACCATGCCTGTGGGCTTGTATCCCAAAGGCTCATGCTGCACTGCCGTTTCTTAGCTGTGAGAAGGCCAGAATCCAGCCTGCGCTGGTGAAAATCTTCCCATCTTTCTCCAATGAAAAGTCCAGCTGAGCCAGCCGGCCCAGGAGTTACACAAGTCCTTTTGAGACTGGGCAGAAAGGGGACAGACCAGGGCCAGGGGCTCGTTCCCCTCCTGAAGCCCAGCCTCCCTGGACCAAAGTTGTGACTTCTAGAGCCTGTGCTGTAAACCGGTTCTACCTGCAGCCTCAGAGTCATTCATCGGTTTTAGTTTAGTTCTTATAGACCATATTTTAACCTTTCTGGTAGGGAGGAAAAAAAATGAAATCTTTCCCGTGGTTCCTGAAGTCCCCTTCTTTGGCTGCTGAAATGAGTTTGAGGATCCATTAATAAAGCAGCCAATTGATTTAGGAGTTAATTTTTAAGGATGCCTCTGGGAATGGAGCACTTGTGCCTGTATAATTTTTACCTCAAACAGTCTTTTATACCAGAATGAGAGATCTTTCAAGCCCTTCTGGAGTTATAACTTAATGAAATGAATTTCACTTGTGTGCAAGTTGCACTCAGAAACTCAGTGTCAGGGACTGCAAGGATTCATTATTGCTATGTGAAGCAGTTAGGATTTTTATTTACCGACAGAGTTAGGAAAAGAGGCAGACTCTCCTCTACCAAGAGCATCTCAGGTGAGGCAGCCAAAGAGCTTGGTGGGAGGAACATCTGTGTGTGATGGGTGCTGCTAAGAGCAACTGGGCTTGAGCCAAATGGCACAGAAGTGGGACTGGGTGCAGCCACAGACCCATTAGCACTTTGCTATGTGAATCTGCTGGTGATTAAACCAGATTGGTGTGGCATTCCTTTGCACTTCCCTCCCCAGCCAGCTCTGAGAGGCCACAGAAATAGTGTAAGGGCATAACAAATCTCCTTCTTCTTAATTTTAATACCTCTAAAGAGGGCCTGGCTAAGCATTTGCAAATGTAACTGTTACATGCTTAAAGTAAGCATATTAATGGCTTGCAAAATAAGGTTCTGGCTAATTATATTCCAGCAGCTTCATGACGTTCCTGTGATGCAGAGCTCTTATAAATACACCCTGGGTAACTAGTAAAAGTCAAATTAAACCCCAACACTGTCAGAGAGGTAAAGATGAAACTTCTGTCTGATACAGTATCATTTCAAAAAGCTGTAGGCCTTGCACTGCTGCTACTTGGAGCTTCATCCTTTATCAAATGCCTAGTCAAAAATTGAATTTTGTCTATCCAATGAACTTGGAAAGAGTTCTGTCCAGGCACAGTCTGCAGGAATATGTGTTAAAGAATATATTTCTCTCTCTGTGCTGGTGGTAGAGTTTGTGGATGTCGTGTTGGAGAGCAGGGGCACGTCTGTGTGATTTTAGAAATGGAGGAACATGTGTGCATCTGTGCAGCATAGGAAAGGGAAGAATATCTTGTGTGAGAGGAATGTGCAAACATTTGTGTCTCTCAGCAGCTGTGAATCAGTGCTGGATTTGCAGGCAGAGGACAAAAGCTTTGCTAACAAGAATGCAGGGCTGAAGCCATGTGACTGACTGGTTTACACGTCAAACATTAAATGCTGAGAAAAGTGATTTTCAAAACGGAGACAAGAGCAGAGGGCAATCTCACTCTCTGCAAACAAAATGACTAGAGACCAGATGTTGCAATAGGAAGCTCTGCCTCAGCAGCGTAAGTGGCACAAGAATCACTGAGAGTTCGAAAGGGCAGAAAATAAATCCCCATGTATCTGGAGGAGGGATCAGCTGCTGGAACAGGATTCATCTCAGCTAACTGGAGCCAGTAGGTGTTAAGTCTGTGCTCACCATCCAGGCTTCCCTTCACTAACAGGGTGAGCCACAGAAGCACACTGTAATTGAGGTGGGAGGAAACCTCGGGAGATCTCTAGTCCAACCCCCAGCTATAAGCACGTCCAGCTTAGATCAGTTGCTCAGCACCTTGTCCGATCCAGAGTTTACTATATCCTAGGATGGAAATCACACAGTTCTTTGGGCCTTTCTTCTACTAGCTTCTCCCAGGATTTTTTTTTTCTCTGCAAATGAATCAGAATTTCCCTTGTGTTTGTTGCCTCTCATTTGACCACTCTGCAGCTCAGAGAAGAGTCTGGCTCTGTCTCATCTACGCCCTCTCATGACGTAGCTGAAGACAGCAATAAGATCTCCCTTTAGCCTTCTCTTCTGAAGACGTAACTAACTTAGCTCTCATATGTCATGTGCTTGAGCTCTCCTAATCCACTGGGAGGCCTTCGCTGGACTGACTCCAGGATGTCATGTCTTTCCTGTATTTGGGAACCTGAAACTGGACCCCATAGAGCAACACAGCCCCTCCCGTTCTGGGCATCCTTCTCAAGATGGTTGTAACTGTCTCTTGTTTCCCCTTTCCAAGGGATAGGGTGAATGGTGACAGGATGGTAAAATAACATGTAAGTAATATCCTGGGACTTGAATTTAAGTTTACTGAAACCAGCAGGCCTAAAGGTCCTCCTTTCAGAAAAAGAAATGTAAGTGCCAGAGTGTCATGTTGTATCCTCTCAGGCTCACATCCTGCCCCCACATTGAGCCGAGGTGCACAGAGGGTGTGAGACTGCGGCATGCACAGAAGGAATCATCTCCAAAGAGTTCTCTATCTCTATCAGACACTTCTTGATCAAAAGTGAGTATCCTTCTCCAAAACAAGCCTCCAGATTTTCCTTCCTTCCTTCCTTCCTTCCTTCCTTCCTTCCTTCCTTCCTTCCTTCCTTCCTTCCTTCCTTCCTTCCTTCCTTCCTTCCTTCCTTC